GTGAGTCGCGAGGCGTTGTATTATTTGTATTTCATTTTTTGAACAAACTGTTCTAGACATCTGTGTACATTAGCTGTCGACGAATGAGATCCAGGTGAAGCGTGATGTTTGTTTGCGCTAGGTACGAGTATATGGTGTATTTCATCAAGTAAAGAGAGTAGGAACACACATGGTGATTTATTTCGCCCGTGGGTGCTTGGGGGACAATGAAAATAATGTAGGACTTGGTAGAGTCGGGCGAAATAAAAATCAAATAATTATTTTTAAAAGATGGTTATCAAAATGTAGACTAAGCACCCGTGAATTACGTGCAATACATTATGATGTCAGAGTAAATGACGTCAGAGCATGTCTTTATGACGTAATGTTGACGCTTCTTGACAGTGTTCGTTCGTCACTCCGAAGACCCGGGTTCGATTCCTGACATGGGTACAATGTGTGAAGCTCATTTCTGGTGTCCCACGCCGTTATATTGCTGGAATATTGCTAAAAGCGGCGTAAAGTCAAACTCACCCACTCACTGGTTTTATAAACGGCTATTAATCGCTGAAAAAAAGGAAAATATCTAGTAAATGAGATAAAATGGCATTTCGCAATACGTGTTGAAAATAATCTGCATGTTTTGAACGACTAAATGCCCTGTCCCTGTTTATATTGCTGTCAATATCTGTCGGCCTGCGTGAGCGCACGCGTGTAAGGTGTGTGCGTGCGTGCGTGCGTGCGTGCGTGCGTGCGTGCGTGCGTGTTTAGTATCTATTGATTATTTCAGCTACAGATATGTAATGAGAAAAGCTTTGGACAGTTGTTTAAGGGTGTCAAGAATATCTTAGGGCAGCACCAGAAATAAAATACCTCAAACGCAAGCTAATATATGATTATAATTATAATGGCTGCCAGAAGACAGAGAAACACAACAGCTATGTTCTATAACACACAAATACGAGCGGTTACCAAGTGTTTCATTGCTTGACAAAGCTTCCATAGTACCTGTTCTAGTTAATGCATATATAAGTCCTCGAAATTTCAAAATAACACATAGGTGAGGTGAGGTGAAATGGGGTTTAACGTCGCGTCCAAGATTATTGCACTTATATAGCGACGTGCATGCACGTGTATGTGTGTGTGTGGCTGCTTGTACTAGTCCGGACTGATGCCGATTTATAGTGCTAGCTCACTGAGATACCATGCCGCAGTTTAACATGAATACCCCACTCAGAGACAGTATACTGACTCCGAGCCGACCAGTCCTTGTTTTAGCCCCTTAATGCCGAGCGCCAGACAGGGTCACAACAAGTACAATCTTTTAACGTCTTTTTGTATGACGCGGCCCGGGATCGAACCCTGGACCTTCCGCTCTCCGGGCGGACGCTCTACCACAAGACCACGGAGGCGGTCAAATAACACATAGAACATCAAACGAGACGCAAATTCATCATCAGCGTTGCATTATTGATTCTGAAGTATATATGTAAACAATAACGGAAGTTAAATACCCCTGACGCATACCACAAAACATATATATTATCAATACGTAGTTAATTACATTTATTAAAATGCTTATATTCATGATTGAACTAATGAATGTAATTTACTCTATTGATGACGTCAGTTGCAGGCTGCTGACGCGAGTACAGGTTTCAATATGTATGGGCAACTCGCTTAAATAGGTCAACCGGAGTATGACGTAAATAAGTTAACATGCGTTAACCTGGTCAACAGAGGTTAACTTGGGTTACATCTTGGTCAACACGTGTTCGTCCACCTGGGTTGTCCAGAGTTTTCAAATCGATCGCAAGCTGTGTATACTCAACATACCTCTTTTGGGGTGACGTCAGTCTGGCTGGGCAGACTTGCATAATGGGCCACTGTCTCACAGCTGGAGTGACCGTGAGTTTAGCCGCATATGTGAAACATAAAATATCTTGTATGCGGCGGTCAGTTAGTGCATTCGCTATACTGAATTTACTTTAAGAATAGTCAGATTAGTTTACCGATATAGGTTGATTGATATATATTTTCTAATAGGAATTTGGTGTTAGAAGAAAGCTATGACATACCTAGCCTCCATCTTAATTTCACCCCCACGCAGAATGGACAAGGGGACGTAACTCTTGCAGGCTTAATGCCGCAGTGCACCAATTCTGTCTATGTACAGTCTCCTCCCACCCAGTAACAAATAAACGGGACATGTGAATATTTCAATAAACTCAAACCGCGATTCGTATTACCAGCAACTGCCTCGCAGTGTTTCCAGCGTGAAAGATAATGTGTGATCAACAGTTGCGTGTAGACAAGGCAACCTCGAGTTGTATCAGCTCGCCCACCGCCTTGTGACGTCATTACTGCGCCAATTATCGACAGTTATGATAAAAATGGTTAAAATTAACTCTTGCTCTCATAATTGTTATAATTATATTTATATATTAGAGATATATTCATCTGGTTCAGTGAGTTTAATTTCAAGCTGTTGTGAAACTTTTTTTCAGCAGGCATAATGAAATGTTAACCATCGATCTGTATTAATCAATAAAATTTTAACAAAGCGTATGTTT